GCAAGCTGTTGCGGTGTCCCTGCCTGTCGGCGAATATAATAAATTAAATTATACGTTCAACTACAAAATTCAAAAGGCAAGATGTAGCCACTCTTTCTGCAACCATATCTATTAGAATCTGATGAAGTTTGTTAGTAGTCTCTCATAAACAGAGCCTGTAGAAGGGGCTCAAAATCATTAAATTTAACTAATCAATTGGATAGCAACTGATTCTTAGATTGAGAATCTAACCTTGTTTTCATTACGTTAATTATAATTACTAAAAACCTGTAATCTATTGATTGAAACTAGGAAGGGTTTCAAAACTGTTCCACTGAAATTTACTTTGGCTTCTGTCCTCTTTTTTCAAGTTTGCTTTCTTGACATGTCGATGTTTTTGTACGTTCCGCTCTCTTTCTTTGACTTCCTTCCTATAATTATATGCGCCTTACGAAGTCATTTGTCTAAGTAAATTTTTTTAAAACTACTCCCTTTCAATTCAAACAGGTGAGACTTTCTGAGTTATCTTTTAAAATATGGGTAAAAATGGTTCGGTAATGTGGTAAAGTTTAAATTCTAGGAATGGTCATAGGTGGGTTTTTATCAGTAAATAGAAAATAGATTAGCTGTATTTGCCAGCAGCAAAGGGGAAAGATTGTACAGAACTCAATAAAATCTTAACACATGTCAAATTCGATAACACTTTATGGGAAAAACCCTCTTTTTGGTGAATCATATCTTGAACTGTTCCCTTTTGTAATTGAAGGGGTTGTAATTGTAATTGTAACTGATCATTCTCCAGTGGTACCAGAAACTTATTGAAGGCAAAGATAAAACGGATGTTGATCTGTGATAATCCCACAATGCCACGGATTCATGCCGCTAAAAACCCCAGATGATTCAACTTAACAACCAACAAATAACATCGACACCCATGTAATCAATCCATTAAAATGTTTCTTAGAAGGAAAATGACGTCATGCCAAAAAGGATTAAAGTCAGAGGTCCACTGATCCATACTTAGCACAGCATTCGATCTGCCAATTCTTGGTTTCGTAGGCTACTTTCCCTCTAGTTCCCTCAAATCCCAGTTTGATTTCAAAGCAGCACGAGATCATGTACTTTAGGTGCAACTTAATAAAGAAGACTAAGACTACTATGTCCTAAAAACATATACGCCATAGTGACTCGTTATAAAGTTTTCTTAACTCTCATACCGGAGGAATATCTCTTATCAAAGGGTCATCTCCGAGGGAAAGATCTTTCACTTTTTGAATGCTGGACGGCTGATTATTTTCAACACCATTTTGTCAACACGACAAGGGAGTGATTTGAGAACGTGTACTACACGTGTACTACCCGGTTTACAATCCGCTGACCAATTTCCATGGCCACTCAATGACCAACTGAGTCATACACGAGTCTTGGGCGTGGCCATAATAACGCTTTTAATCCGCAACTGTACAATGTTGAGAAGGTTGAGAGGGTAGGTTTGGAGAATGGATTGAGGGATGGAAAAATCAACACTGAAAGATAAACTGTGATGGTGAGATCGACAAATAATTGTCAAGATTCTCACATTTCCGGTGGTATGTATCTCCATGTTCTTTCCCAAATAAACTTTGCTCTCGATTAATGTGGCTTCACAAAGAAAGACAAACTAACAAACAAAAAGCAAATACTGACAACCAGAAATAAATTTATTGACATTCCTAAAATGAATGTGGAATTCAGGGGAACTGATTGCTTTTTTCTCTAACTGCAAATGAAGCTAAT